ATAAACAGTATTTAAATGATTGGTTAAAACAAATTATAGAATTAGTCACAAATTTAGTATTTTAGTTTACATTTAGAAAATTTAACCTGATGACCGTTTACAAAACCTCTTCAAGTCGTAATACACGTGGTTATAATCGATGATACATGATATAACGATTATGGTAGAGTTTAAATTAAAAATGTCCTTAATAAGCCGAAATGAAATTAAACTATGTAGGTTATCGATGTTATTGCCATTTTACAATTTATTATATAACTATAAAAAATGACTAACAATTATTAATCTAATATGTGCAGTATTTATTATGATGGTTAATGAGATTCTATTGAAATTTGAGAAGGAAAAAATTTTAGGGGGKGGGGGTTAGAGCCCTAGATACCATCATACTCCTGCGTACGTTACTGCCTACATATTATAGATACACAATAAGCATGGTTAAATTACTTTGTAAATTGTCAATTATTTAGTATTTTAAAACAAGAGTTATTAGTTTTATTACGGTGCGTGACACATTGAAACGATAACTATAATAACCGAATTAAATTACTTCCGTTCAACGTCACTTATCATAGTTCCTATTTGTWAATATACCAACTCTCTTTTTCTCTGGTTGATATATTCATATTTCAAACAGTGTTGCTCACCAAATTATTGTATTAAGTTTTAAGTGTTAGTTATTAGCACGGTTTAAGATTTTTTAAGATCTTAAACCGTGGTTATTAGGTATTATTACTGTGTACATACATTGAACACACTATAAAAACAATGTAATGAATTCAACATAATTATATTATTGATAAAATAAAATAAATCATAAGTAGGTATGTACATTTTTCAGTTAAAAATCTGCAAAATAGTTAAGCCGTAATTTATTTAAAATGAGATACCTAGTATATACAATTATATACAGAATGTAACAAAAAGAACTGTTGGATGTAATTAACTCATTACCAACCTATGTACGATGTACCTGTTCACTTTGATTCTTACTAGTTAAAAAAAAAATGTTTTGATGCATAAAAAAAGCAAATCCACAAAAACGAAAATTATTACATGTTAATTTAATTTTTGTAGGTACCTAAATATAGATATTGACCGCGATACCGTGTACAAACACCTATTTATTAATATAATATTTTTATTTTATAGTTGGTATTTTCATTCATTGTCTTAAGAAAAGAATGAGCGATGATAAGCAAAATAATAGGTACTTATAGCTTATAATATTCTAAGTATAAATATAYAAACGGCATATCTTAAATTGATTGCAAATTATAATTTGTAATTTGTAATTTGTAAGATATATTTATATTCGATTTGTTATAAAAAAACCTTATATAAATGATTAAAAAAAACGTTTACACTTAATAGTAATAATAAATTAAACATATATTTACACCATACACATTATAGTTTTATACATTTAATATTTTATACTATATTTTATATATGTATTAAAATTTTATTTTTACTTGATAAATTAATTGTGATAAATTCATGCCAGGCCACTTTATTTACATAAATTTAAGTAATCAGTAATAAGAATGTACCTTCGTTCTTCCTATTTAAAAAAATAAATATTTTGTAGATTTCAATTCAAAGTCCTACAATTCTCATAACTCATTACCTAAATATAATACCTAATTTATTAAGCGATTGCTTATTAAAATGCTATTTTACATTAATAATTATATTATTAGGTATTTATTACAATAAACTTGTTACCAATATACCGATTATAGGTACTTGAGAGGACGTCGCACTCGCATCGTATGTTTTTTCTCCGACACTAGCAATATGTCAATTTTTTGTTCACCAATAATTTCAATAGTGCCCTGTTAGTTTTGATATTAGACTGAATTGACTTATAAAATTAAAAGGTAAGATTATTATCTACAGCCTTACACAGGTTTTCATTGATATTATTATTATTATTTTTTTTTTTTATTAGTTAAACATTAACCACATAGGTTATAAGCTTTAACAAAAGTATTGTAATTTTTATATTATTATATGTTATTTTACAACTAATTGATATTATTATTTTTAGTAAGTTATAATTATTTTAAAATGTACAGTTTCGAAAAGGTCATATTATCTTACTTAAAAACAATAATATCAATAAAAGCCTTGGCGGGGTCCAACAGTCCAAGATAGTAATACTACTTTTAAATTGTATGGTATTTTAATTCCCTCTAATATTATCAAAACAGAAAACTATTAAAATCGTGAACGGAATACGGAAGTGACGTCCTCTTAAATAAAATGATCATTGATTACACATTTATAATTTAGTATTTGAATAAGATTTATTTTGATGACAAATTTAGAATTTTTAACTTAAAACTATAATATGTACAATCATGCAATAAGTTGATAATTTAAATCATATTTCCATTCACAAGAATCACAGTTATCGCCTAGGTGATAACCTATGACACTAAATTATGTGACACYTATGTCCAAAATTACCTATTACAATACAAATCATAAAAATAAATACTGTTATAATATCTTATATGATAAAAAATAAACTATTGATATAGCTGATAAAATTAATTCTGGATAAAAATGTATTTATATTATAATTCAATAATATAAAATCGAATCACATTAAAAACTCATTAGATACCTTTATTCAATATTTCTTAAGTAACTGTTTAAACATTTGTGGTATATAAAATTGTATAACCTTTAACAGCCAAGCACATTAGGTACTATATTAATATAATGAATGTGGGTACTTGTAACGTAGATGTAAATTATTTAATATRCATGAAAAAAAATCCTAGTTGAAGTTTTTGTGTTTGAAAATGGCTTAGTTCCAAAGAATTTAACAAAACATTTTAAGAACTTGATAATTTGATATAACTATATAAGTAGTACCATGCAGACATAGTGTGGTTAAAAATATAAAATAATACTTCTATATGAGAACATAAAGCAAGATAAACTATAAAAAACGATTAAAAAAATATTATCTGAAATAATTAATATTATTATGTTTAAATGATTAAACAGCAAGAGATCAATCGTATTTTAATGGTATAATATAAAATTGTATTTACCTATACWGTTCAAATATTAAATAATGTAACCAATTGTTTATATAGAATTCAAACTTGAAATGTAAAGAGCAAACACACAATGAAAACGTTCACAGTTAATATTTTCCTCCTCACTCAATGATTTATTTATTATTATATTATTTTAATGGTTGATGATGTGAATAACATACGGTAAATTAATACTTTAATACTATAATTGTACAAAGAATGAAGGTAACGTGAGAATTATTATTGTTTTTAATTTAATTACTTACTATAAATAGTCATTAGGACCATTAGGTACAATCGCGAGTATGTTAAGTAGGCATTGAATATAATACGATATTCTAATATTGATATATGATCTAGCATAATTTTCATGTTTTCGTTATGTACTTGCAAGTAAAAAACTATATTCAATAAGATTTTATAAAAACTTTTTAAATAATAACATAATCTGGTAATTTCAATTACTTCTCAGCAGGTTTATTAAAAATAATAATATTATTATATAATATTATAATATATGATAAGTGTACACAATAATTAATTGCGATTGTAAAATATGTATAAGTAATAATTTTATGTTGGTAACAGTTTAATTATTTGTTCTCTTAACAAATTGGAAACAGACCACCGTTTCAATTCAAATGAATATGAAATGCCTCAATTATTTTTTAGTTTTTAATTTTTGAGAAAATTTAGGAAAACAATTATGAAATTACAGTTATAAGTCACAAGTATAAATCTTATTATACTTACTCCACAGCTCACTGTGGGATACCTACACTGTGTAAGTATTCACACCAGTTTTTAACAAAACATTTACATCTACCTATTATATTTTATTCTTAGGTACCTTATAGATAAAAATAAGATACTATCTATATAATACAATAGTCATAACTCATAATACTATAATTTATATTATAAAGAATAAACTGTAGCCAAAATTGTTTAATCAAATAACATTACATAAGTACACATAACAATTATAAAACCCTTGGTAATTTAATTTAATTTCTACCTTATACATTGAATATTGTTATTATGAATAATAAAATGAAAATTTTTATCGTAATTTATTTTACTTTTTCTGTACATCTTATACTTATTTTTTCATATTTATGTAAGGATTGCGATGCACCTTCGCACTCACCTACAAGATAATCTACCACATATATTTGCTGTTAGTTAGTGTCTTAATAGTTAATTGAATTGTTTATAATTTTTTTTAACTTACTATCCATCACATTTTTTCAAACTACCCTTGATGATGTATTACATGGAAATGGTGTCGTTTTTTCAAACTAAATCTTCTAAGTGAATAAAAGATAATAACACAGCAGTAATGCCATGACTTCTGTCAATATAAAACTCGGTTATCATTCATCAGTCATCACAATGTTACATACCGTTATTGTCACAGATTGTACGAATTCTCTATATCTAAAATTGTATTATTATATATTAATATTTGCTGACTATATGATGTCAAAGCCATGGTGGGAGATGTTTGAACACCCCCACCCAAACCAAACGAGTGTACGCCGCTGATTAAAATATCAAATATATTAATTTTTTTTTTGTACGTGTTAATGATCAATTAAATCATTGATTATTAATATTATGATGAATGTCAATATTAGTAAATTATTAAGCCTTATTACGTGTTTACTGTTTAAGTAGGTACATTATATTATAATTTATAATATTTAAGTATAACAATTAATATAATATAATAATAAATTAGGTACTTAATTGCATAAATTAGTAATGTTATCATTTTAAAACGAACGACAGTATTATGTATAAGTACTATTAAATTTGTTTATGTTTTAGTGAGTATTGATATTATTATAGTCGATACACGATGCGTTCTAGTATTCTATACGCATAGCATTTACTTATTTGTATGTGTAATTGCCATAATGTAACTTGTGTCAGGCGCTGTGATAGTTGTTAAAGATACGCTATACCTGCCATTTTCAGCTGAAAATTATTTCTATGAAAAACAAAAGAAACGGCAATACAAAGTGGTTTAAGAGTAAGTAATACATCTATCATGCAATTTATAGAGAACAATAATTAAGAAGGAACTTCGTCGGATTTTTTTAAAATTAACTTATTAAAATAGTTACAGTTTTTTTAAAGTGCAAGAATAAAGGTTTTTGTACCCTTCATATCACTCTCATTATACTTTTTAAATACGGGTATTAGGTTATTCATTCACCAATTTAGGTAATTTAAGTGGGTCAAGCCTCTATCCGATCACCGTCTAATCTAAACGAAAAAAAATATTTATCTAAAAATAAAATTATAATATGTAAACTTAAATACTTTTATACTTAATTCGGAAGTTATTTGGTCTTCAATAATTAATAACTTGCAATACATTTCTATGTGGTAAAGGAATGCAGCGAAATTAGGTGAATATTATTTGAATCTATTTTTAAACGATCATTCCTTTGTCTTCGCTATAAAATATTTGGTAGTACTGGAAGGAGGGTACGAAGGCAAATTTCCCCCTACTATCAACCAAGTTGTTGAATATGCACTATAATAATAAGCATTCTTGTGCAGGTAGAATGTATTTATTTGGATTATTTGGAGATGGTCTGCGTCATGATGTATGCATTGTTTGATCATATAACGCTAAAAGTTCTTTTTTTCCTTATAGTCACGTAACCAAGATAAAAAAAAATTGTAGTTTGTTTCATAAGTACTAAGAATTTCTGTCTCAATAGAAAAAAATTGGCGGTAAGTATTTATATTAAATTTATAAATTTGCAATATTTAGCTTAGTATGAACCTTGTCACCACTGCTATTACGCGTGATACTGTAATTTTTTTAAACATCTGAKTAATAAATTAATAATCTATCAATATTTCATCATAAAAATAGTATTAATAATCTTTTATAACAATAAAATTATTGTATAAACATATTTTATTATGACGTATACGCTTAAACCTATACATTTAAAATGACTAATATTTGTTTTATACCTATAAACAGTTCTAAACTACGAATTAATAAATGTTACAACATATTGCCATATTATAATATAGCCATATGGCCAAATAGGAACCTATATATAACATATAATACTTATCTTTCACTTAACACGTTCGTGTAACAGTCATCTCGTAAATGCTAATTTCAAATAATAACAATATGTCGATGTATAAATATTGTTTATATAAGTATTTTCATTATCAATTATTTTATATCATTATTAGATGTTAAACAGACGAAATTATTTATTAATAGTATTGCATATGCATCATATACGCTAAATGAATATATATAAAAGCTATTATATTTTTGAAGACTGACTATTTGTTAACTATGTATTAAATTAAATTTTAATCATTATAACCAACCCAACTACCGTAGTTACATATATACATATAGTACGTATATATATATATATATATATATACGTACTATATGTATATATGTAACTACGGTAGTTGGGTTGGTTATAATGATTAAAATTTAATTTAATACATAGTTAACAAATAGTCAGTCTTCAAAAATATAATAGCTTTTCAATTACATTAGTATGCCACTTTATATACATTATATACTTTAATTTAACTGTAATTTCTACTCCTATTATAAGATCAAATCTGCAGCTAGGTATGTAGTATGTATACTGAATGGCCACATAATGGAATATCTTTACCAGATATATCGATTACATTTTTTATTTTATTTAAATTTATGCCTCTAAAGTAAATTTAAAAATTATTGAGCCGCATTTGTTAATATTATCTTCACACGTTTTATATAGGTATAAATAATTTCTGAAATATCTGTAGATATTGTAGTCTGAACTTGTTACCTATATTATATGTATATCCTTCAAACGTGTGCAAAAATCAACGTAAATAAATAGCATTGGCGCAGTGGTATCGTGTACAAAATTCAATATAGTGATTTTGAAACTTTGAATTATAGGTACCTAAAAACTGTTAGTAAAAGTTTACTGAAACAAAAAAAAAACTACGTACGTTTGGCCAGCCAGCCCCCCCCAAGGGAAAATCTATAAACAAACTATACTCATATTTAGCATGTGATTCGCACGAATTCGCACGCCTAATTTGAAAATTCGCACGACCCTCCTTCCACCCGAAAAAAAAAATTCGCAAAGGTACATACACTTATGTAACTATTCAGTCTTGTAAAGTTTTCGAAGTATTTAAACACTTGTAATAAAATACGTGTTAAAGTTAATAATTAATAATTCATTGTTTTATTGTTATTTAAATAAAGGAATAATACTCCATAATATTATAGTGTATTCGTATGTATTATGTATAGGTTTCATAGAATATAATTCATATAATTAAACTAAATAAGTAATTAGGTAATAGGACAATTTATATTATAATATTTGAATAGAAAAGAATAAAAAAAAAATCGATTATGAAAAAACAATTGGAATAGAAATAAAAAACCTAAATAGAATAAAAAATTAAAGTAAAAATAATAAAGAATTTAAAAAAAAATTATAAAAAAATTTATTTATAAAAATCAATTATTTAAAATATAATTTAAATTTTTTATGAAATATATTTTTTATAATTTGCATTGTTTATTAAAAAATTAATTTTTATAAATATAATTTTTTTATTTAATACATATTTTTTATAAAAATAGAATATTTTTATTCATCTTTAACCTTGTAAAAAACACTAATATAATAAAAAATGAAACTAAATAAAGAATTAAAAAAAATATATATATTWAAAAAAATCAACTTTTTAAAATATATTTAAATTTTTTATTGTATATATTTTTTGAATTTGCATTATTTATTAAGAAATTGATTTTTATAAATGTATTTTTTATGACATTGAATAACTAAATGGTGGGAGGAGGGTAGGCTCCAACAAATGTCCAACAATGTTCAAATGGACTTTGTTGGAAGGTTTTTGAACGGTTTCAATAAAAATGTAATGCTAACTTCACATAGGTAGAATGTATACGGTTATACCATGTATTCTTAAAGTGCGTGACGTTGGCCACCCACGTAAATTGGATTTCAGAATTCGCAAATAAATTTCCCACCCAGAATAAAAAAAATAAGATGCGGGAGACAACTTCACGCAGCCCTCCCTTTTGAGCCACAAACTTCAAATTGCTCCCAACATTTTGCAAATCGGTTTACAGAATTTGCGAAAAAAAACCCCGCCCGGTAAAAAAAATAAGATGGGGGGTCCATT